TGTTTTTTTAAATGCTGGGATGAATTAATCCTGTTCCCATGCATTTCAATGGGAAATGGTGCTTTGACTTACGAACATTTTGACTTACGAACACCATTCCAATACGGATTGAGTTCATTTCATAAAGCCCCACTGTATTTCATTTTCAATTTTCTTGTAAGACTTTGGGTGTGACATCTGGGCTGAATTATCACAGCCTGGATCCGTCTTGATTGCGCTAATCAAGGTCCCTTGAGATACAGAGCCTTCAGTCCTTGCATGTGGATGTACAGATCACGCCAAATGACATATTGCGCCTTGAAGTGACCCTTTGTAGCATGATAAAAACTGATCCAGGCTCAGATAATTTGGCTTTCTAATCACACCCAAAGTTTTACAACCCAATATGAAAGAAAGATTGGAAGAAAATTGAGGCTGGATTTAAAGAACTGCAAGAAAATGGAGTCTGAGAGATTTTCACATCCTTTGACACTAGAACATTGCCAAAGAAAGGAGAATGTGCCTATTCTCTGTGGCTCTTTAAAGCCACTACTGAGAATGGTTGGAGAATGGAATTATTTTTTTATTGCTAATAAGAACAATGACCAGTATCTGTTAGCCTTGACAAGTTTTGTCCATGCTTATTTAACTTTTTGTAGCAAAGTTACACCATTTACATTGTGCTTGTGGGCCTAATGATTAGGATCTTTCTTGTTCTTCTTTTGTTGATGATTCCCTCTGCTTTTTGGGGCCTTTCTTTTTGTGGAGAAAATTTTTAAACCTTAGGGTGGATAGGCAAACAGCATTATACTGGAACACTTCAAGTAAATGCGTAAAAGTAGCTTTTGCCCAACTGGAGATGCTTGGAATTAGGGACCAGAAAGGAGGTGGCGCCGAAATACATGCACACAGTTCAGCTGTGGCTTGTTCCTTGCTCTGATTCATTTGTTACCGTGGCACCGACTGCATTCTTAGAACAAACTGGATATAATGGAAAATGTGTATCTGGTGTGATTGTCAGATTTGTTTTTCTTCCGTGACAGGTATGCTTGTGTTTGCAAATGTGCTCATAAGTCTAATGGAAATATCTTGGAATATAAATAAAATTTTAAGGTGTGGTGGAAATCAGAGGTGAGAAATGCTTCCATTCAGACCCAGACTTGAGTGGCTAGCTCTTAAATGTCTATCTGAATTTGACTCTCTGAACATTCAACCATATCTGTGGGGCTTCATTGGGGCTCTCCCAAAAAGCAATTAAGTACAACACATTCCCGTCCAGGCTGGGAATAGCTGGGTTTAATATAGTTGGTTAGTTCAGATGGGTGAGGATTTTATTTGACTTTGGTTCCATAAAAAGTTATCAAAGAGGAGCTAGGGATTATTTCTCCTGCACTATCAGTTATCGTCTGTGCCGGAGAACAAGTGAGAGGAACTGCAAATAAGTAGCAATAGCTTTGTAAGCAGGACTACAGTCTCACACATGTCCTTGGTTTAGCACTGTCCCTCTCCACCTTCTCTATTTCTTTACTCAGCAATATGTAGTCCTGCTTTAGCATTTGACGCATGGAATATTGAAGTGCATTTTTTGGGGTAGGAGTTCAGTCTGCCTGTGGTAGAAAATGGCACAAGTACTAGTTGTCTGTTAACTTTCTGGATGACAAATACCTACCCATCATCCAAATCATCCATGGAGATACATGTATGTTTCCTGAAAGGAAAGACATTTCTAGGTATGGTTTAAATGTAATGTGTGTCTTCCAAATCTAATTCAGGGCATTGGTGCTTAACTTTAAAGTGTCCGTGTGGTCTGAACCAGTGTTTCCTAGCCATGTTTCCTAAGGGAGGGATTTTGTTTTGTCGTGCGTGATCGTCCAAGTAAAGCTGAGAAGCACAAGGATCAGCACCGTTGTCTTTACCCAACCACACTGGGAGACTTGTTGCCAAAGAAATCCCTGTATGTGTGTTCTGGAGCAAACTGAAGATTGTTACTGTGACTTGGAAGTAAGTCCCACTGGACTCAGTAGAACTTGCGTTAAATGCAACTGTATATGGATAAAGTTGCATCATGATACATGGATTGTAGGCTGTTATCATCACTGTTTGTGCTTTGGTTTAGAATATTTTATATTTTACTGCAATGTTTTAATTGTTGATTTTTAATTACCCACTTTATTGGGTGCCTTTGGGCAGAAGGAAGACAGTAGTAATAACTGATCACATAGAGAAGCAGCTATGTTTGTTCCTTTGAATATTGGCTGACACCTCTACTTTTACAACGTGATTCATGCCTAGCATGCATTATGATATTTTCCCATAAGCATCCTTCAGGTTATTTAGACCCCTGTGCCTTGAGTTTCTATAACTTTGGTGCATTTTAATGCCTAACTCAGAACATGCTGTGAACACAAGCTCTTTATTGTGCTGTCCCTAGGCGTGCCCTATGATAAGAATTGTGTATTATAAAATACATATTTAGACTTTAAGTTGATTTACTTGCCAAATAAATAAGGCAACAAATTGATTTTCACATTGCTTTTAAGAAACATACCTATTGCCGTCAGGAGTTCAATAGCTTATGGTTTATGGATTGCTCTGTAGACAATCTAATATTCATTGTCAGTTGAGGATGGCTAGGAGACACAAATGCTTGCAGGGATTCCAGTATGATTGGAAACTACTGTGATCCTGGGCATAGCATGTTAAGATTTTGGTACAGCTTTGAAGATCTCCTGGTTAATGAACATCTCCAATTGCCTGCATCCGTTTTTCCTGCCAAATTTTGGCTTAGTCTTATGGTTGATGTCCCTGTGGGCATAGGTTCAGAAAGTTACTTTCTTTTTCGACTGTGGATCCTGGAATTCTCCAGCCAGCAAGACCAGTGGCTTTGCTGGCTGGAGAATTCTGGGAGATGTAGTCCCCCAAAAGCAATGTCTCCATCTCTGCTACGAGGAAAGACCAAACAATACGAAATACCATATTAGCAATGTGTGAATAGCAATCAGTGCATCCTTTTTTTAGCAGAGACCACATTCTTAGTTACTGAATGTCCAACTGTGTTTATAACTGAGCCTGAAGAAGTTATTTGAGGATAATGAAGGATTCTGGTAGTTGCAGTCACCAAAAGGACTTTTTCCAAAGTCAAGTTTTGATAATGGGCTGTGGATGATGTGTGTGTGTGTATGTATGTATGTATGTATGTATGTATGTATGTATGTATGTATGTATGTATGTATGTATGGATGGATGGATGGATGGATGGATGGATGGATGGATGGATGCATGCATGCATGCATGCATGCATGCATGCATGCATGGATGCATGGATGCATGGATGCATGGAATGCATGTATTTTTATAGCACCTTTCTCCCTGGGTACCCAGTATGGTGTAGTGGAGAGAACGATAAACTGGGACTCTGGAGATGAGGGTTGGAATCCCTACTCAGCCATGGAAACTCACTGGGAGTGTGGAACTGGTAAAACTACTCCTTAAATATCTCACTTACCTTAAAAGCCATATTTAGGTCACTATAAGTCATTTCCAACTTGATGGCACATAACTAACTTTCTTACCTAAGGCAACCCACAGTAGCATATAAAAGAATTAAAATCAATGCTTCAAACCATTGAAACTGAATTGCAAAGAGAATGAATAATGGCTGAAAACCTGTTGATGTTTTTGTAAGGCTTGTATAATTTGCTTGCACTAATTACATCTAAGCGATGAGGTGTAAATATATTTTGATTGTGCTGTTGGGCACATGACCATCCATGCATGTCCTGACATCTCATTTAGCTACAGCAAGGTATGCAAACTTTACATGATTACTAATAGGATTCTGGCCAATAATAACTAAATGTCCTTATGCTCCTATGATAGGATAGGAAGGTAACCATGTGTTTCACGAAACTTGCTGGGCTTGGACAGTTAAGATAACTGGCTTTAGAGCACACCTGATCCCATAGGCAGAAGTAGGTTGAAAAGATTGTTGGGAGCGATTTTACTTCTGACTAAAGGAGCTTATATTATCTCAGATAAGGACCATCCAAAATTGCCTAATATAGACCCAAGATTCAGATCGACGTTGCTGTTCCGACAGGTCACCCATGAATACTAATCTCCTTCTTCCCCTATCTTCTTTCCCTGACCTTACTCTTGAAAAGTGGCATCATCAAATGCTATATTTAGAACATTGCAGTCCATGTTCAAATCCATGCACTTTAAAAACTGCTTAATAGTAATTTATTAGAGGAGAAGTCTGACTGTTTTATGCTTATGCTTTAAAAGATCAATGCTGTCTTTTTGTTGTTTCCTGTTTTTATTATATATATAAAAAGTGACATTGGCCTTAGCTTGAGTCTTATGCATATTAAAATATCTACTTATCAATGCCGTTCAGAAATACTTGGGATTTGTATGTTTATTGATGGCTTCTGATTGGGAAGGTGATACATAGCAAAAAGTGCACCCAGAAAACGAGGTTACATGCTTCTAAGATATGCAGCTGAAAGAAAGTGGTGCCATGTAAATTTGAGGCATCAGAACAAATACATAGAAGCATGAGAACTCTTCTGGTTGCAAGAACCTCATGGGGCTAATTTAGTAGGTGTCCTTCAACAGTAAAGGCTCAGCTTGGATATGCCACAGCACTGAAGCTGCTCTGCTCCTAGAAGAGGTAGTCCTAGTGTCAGCTAAGGCGGTGCAACACAGTGTTTCACACTGAGATCAATGGGCATGGCCAACATCCTGTGTAAACAAAGCACCACTTTACACAGTGTCCAAAGATCCTGTGTGGCAAGTTCCATCCAGTGGCAGCGGTGCATTTTTCAGTAGCAATAAAGCTTAGAAGTGGATCACTGGAGAAAGAAAGCTGGAAATCCATTGCCATGGGTGTGTCTCATGTTTGAAAATGTTTTAGCTAAGCTGTAGCCTTGGGAGCAGTGTTTCCAGTTGAGGCATGTCTTGAAATTAGCCTGTTACTACCGCATGCGTATGTTTGTCACTTTTCCCCTTTTTCCCAGGTGCAAAGAGGGCTACCAAGGAGTCCGCTGTGACCAATTTTTGCCGAAAACTGACTCAATCTTGTCAGATCCAAGTATGTGAAATGTTTCTTTTTTTCCTTCTGTCTTTATTACATGCTGAAAGCAGCCCTTTGACATAAGAATGTGACCTTTTGTTCATTGTCAAGACTCCATCATAACTCATTTCAGAAGTGTGTAAAGTATTTTGTGTAGACAAATACGCCAAAGTCTTCCACTTCATGTTAGGTTTTCTAAGGATTCAGAGCTAAATATCATTTTTGTACCAATAAATGTCCAATGTGGGGGTAAACATGAAATACAAATCATGAACTGTATTATCTTAATGGCAAAACCTGTGTTTTTTATTTTGTTTTTTTTTAAATTTGCTATTGTTCTTTGCCATGTTTTTGAACTTTTCTAAGACGCTTCTTGAGACAACCTATTGTTTAACTATACTGGATGTCTTGTGATACCCACTGTAGTTTGCATGGCTGGTACTAGCTGTTATTTTAAAACATTCCTTCAACCAGGATTCTGTTGGGTTTTTATGGAACACAGAAGGGTAATCACACAGTTGGTCTTCATTGTTCGTGAGCAGTCCATTGTATGATTGATTGTACAACCTGCACAGGAATGACTGCATGGCAGAAAACCCATGGAAGAGCACACACAATGTGTCTGATTGCCCTTCCGCATAATGCAGATTGGATACTTTAACTGTGGTGCCTTAAAACAAATTAATCTCCTTCTCCATTTGTTTAGGAATGGGCACATAGTTAAAAATTTAAACAATTGGACATGGTAGTTCTACTAACGTAGAACATGTGTCATCAATCAGAATAGTGTGTTTAAAACCAAGGTGGTATTTGTATCAGCCTCCGCTTCTCTGATACCCCCCAGATATGTTCAGCCTCCATGTGCTGGCTGTAGGATTATGGGAGTTGAAATCAAACACATCTGGAAAGTGCAGTTTGGAAAATGAAGCTGATCTATACCTGTTCCTCTGATTTGGATGCTTCTTTCTACAGCTCCCAATCTTGGATTTGCTAGTCTACAGCTCTCAGAATCCCTAATGGTTAGCCATAGTGATTGGAGATTCTGGGATACGGCACAAAAACATCTGCAGACCCAACATGAAGAAACACATATATTTTTTAAGTAATATTTTTATATAACACACAAACAACCATAAAAGGATACAACTACAGGGAGGGAAAAGGGGATAACACAAAACAAAACATAGACACAGGGAAGTATTTGCATTCATACAATATCTAATACACTCTTGAGCACATGTTTATACTGCACTGCGGTCCACTAATAGGTCTAGTGCCAGCCACATTTCAAGTTTTAGCTTTTCTTTCCTTCAGTCATTGATCTGGAGAATCCTTCATTCATAGTTTTAGGTCGAACTGCAATAGATCTAGCCTGACCCAGATTGTGTATGGTCTAGATTCATTAGGTAGCACAGGAAAGCGATGACTTCTATGAATGTAGATGCATGTTGATCCAGATACAGATGGACGTAGGAAGAAGTCTTGGGCTTGATTATGTCTGAAGGGCTTGGCAATTTCCTTCATTTCCATACTCTGTCCGACTGACTGCCAAGCTGGACTCTATAATCTCTGTAGACCCCTTTAAGAAAGCCCTTTGTGCACTCATTAAACACACGGACAGGAGAAGGAGGAAAGCACCATGTGACTTCCAGTGGCCCTGTTGCCTGCACTGTGGGCTTGGTAGAAGATATGAGTGGGGTGTCTGGCGGCACGTAGCAGGAGCCTTGGGCAACAGGCAATAGTAGAACAATAGTTGGGGAAACCTTTGTGCATACAGGTCTTCCTTTGAATGGATAGACCTCAAAGGGCAGGGCTTGTGGGCAGGTTGGTGAAGCGGGGCTCAGCTAGGGGGTATGGTACTCCTCCTCCCCAAGCAAGAAACACAAGAGATACTTTTCTGAGTGGTGCATGTGTTTGTTCATAATAGTAAATGCATAGGTGAACTCATGACCAGAGGGGGAAGCTTAGTCCACTGCTAAAAAGAGGGCTGAGATGTCCTCCCTGCTCAGACCATGAACTGTCACTAACTAGAATGCTGGATGTGAGAGGGAGGCTTAGAAGAAGGCATAGGAACATGCATCTAAGTTAGCAAAAGTAGGAGGACAGTTAATTCTCATGTTATGTAACAAGTATACTCCGCTGTTAATTCCCACTGCTTTTCAGCTTTCAAGCACTGTCACTTACTGGTACCACTGCATGTTAATTTTTTAATATTATCCAGAGGGCTAAATCTGTAACATGCTAATTATGAGATGGTATAAAATACTGTCTATCATTGCCTGTTATCTTTCAAATACAATTGGATATAAACATTATCCAAGAGCTCTCTTTTAAAAAAATCCCATGACTGGAGGGAATTACAAATACAAATACCCGTGACTTTATGTAGCATCCTAATTGTATGATCTGTCATTCAAAGCCGATACAGAAATAATATTTCCACAGTCATATATAAACACACACACACATTTGATCCTTACAGTATATTTCAGCAACATTTACTGAGCTAAACTGAGTGAGAGAACAAAGAGAGAGGGAAATGTTCCAGAATGTAAAAAAGGCTCTTCTCGGCACCTCAGAATGTCTAGGGCAGTGGTCTCCAACCTTGGGCCTCCAGATGTTCTTGGACTTCCATTCCCAGAAATCCTGGCCAGCAGAGGTGGTGGTGAAGGCTTCTGGGTGCTGTAGTCCAAGAACATCTGGAGGCCCAAGGTTGAGGACCACTGGTCTAGGGGATTTCTCAGGCTGTAGTGGGTGGGTTTAAACTATCTCTTCTCTTCTCCTTGGGCATCAGTAGCTCAATTTAGTCCATTAATTTCAATTTACCTTTTCCTCAGTTCCAACCATTAACTACCTTTTCAACCTTATTAATTCCAAAGGTAAAACAAAGGATCTATTGTGATATTGCTTCACCTTGGGAGTGAACAGTCATCCTTTTCCCCCATCCTGGTCTTCCCAGAATTGCACAGATGCCCCTGATTTTTTACTCCATTTCAGTACATTTTTTCCAAAAGCGATGCATATGCCTAAGGTTAATTCTGAAATATGTGAATAAAATGGTGAAATCAACAAGAGGCAAATGCCTCTTGTTGTTGTGAGCTTGGGCTGTCTAGGTCCACCTTTCCCATAATTTCCCCTCACACACTTAATTTTTAACCTCTAGAAAGCTGCCCATAACATTTGATAGACTCTTTGGAGAGGATTCCAAAGCTGCAAAAGAGACAACAATCCAAGTTAAATTGGACAATAATCCCTATGTATGCACCGAAGGACTTTAGACTAACATTCCTCAACTTCTACCTGCCACATGCTCACAGGGACTGATGGGAACTGAAGTCCAAAGTGACCACCTGACTGGGAAAAGCTGCTTGAGACACCCACCTGAGACATTTGGATTCTGACTGAAATACTGAAATTAAATATGAAGTGTCTAAAGTTTATACTGTATGAACCCCCCCCCCAAAGTATTTGCACAATATCTGAATGTTAAGAGTTAGTGAGCATTTGATCTCATACAGAATAATTTGGGGGGAGCAAACCTGTTTAGAATTCAGGCTGCAAGCAAATACTGAATAAAAATTGCATGTGAGATCTTAACGGGAATGAATCAGGAAATCTTTTTCTGAACTTTTTGCAGGGAACATATTTGGTACGACAGGCACCACTGCTGAATTTAACCTTCCTGATATCCATTTGACCTCTATTCTTTTACCTTCTCATGTGTCTGATGTCTTGTCAGCAAAATATCTTCCAACAAGTGCTCTAGCTGATGATGTCCTTGAGATGGGCACTTTGTAGCAGGTATCATGCTGACAGAAACTCACATATCTGTTATGCACCTTTGAGGTAGGGGCAGAAAGCCATGGGCACTTATATCCTTATATCCCTCCCAGTACTTGGAAAACACTGGCTGCATTGCAAACCAGTGGCCAGGAGCCAGTGGACTGAGTTTCATAAGAGGGGTATGGTTAGGTTGAAACTAATCATAGTTTTCTGTGAACATTTTGGGTAAGGGCAAGGATTCTTCTTGGTTTTGAAGGCATTTTTTTAAAAAAATGTGCAAAAATAGAAGAGAAAAAACGAAAGGAAAGTTTTTTCTTTCTTACTCATATTCATAATGTTTGTCCTCTGAAACATCCTTCAGTGAGTTAGGTATCTGGTTGCAGAGCCAGAGACTGGGAGTTCAATTCTCCACTGTGCACCCAGAAGAGCCAGCCTGTGTGGCCTTGGGCAAGCTGCACAATTTAAGCAAAAGCAAAAGCAAAGCGTACTGCTTATATACTGCCCCATAGTGCTTCAAGCACTCTCTGGGCGGTTTACAATTATGCAGGCTACACATTGCCCCCCCTCCGCGAGCTGGGCACTCATTTTACCGACCTCGGAAGGATAGAAGGCTGAGTCAACCTTGAGCCGGATACCTGGGATTGAACCCCGGGCCGTGAGCACAGTTTTGGCTGCAATACAGCAGTTTAACCACTGCACCACGAGGCTCTTAGTCCTCCTATACTAGATGCATCCCATTCATTTCACTGAATAAATTTAGGAGGCAATGTTAGATCATGATGGAAAAGTTCCATATGTGAACACAACTTTTTTTTTTGGGGGGGGGAAATCAGCACAGGGCGACTTCAGTTCTCCACAGTTCACACATTTTATAACAAGCTTCCATTGGGCTCCTCGCCAATGCTGGTTGCTCCCAACCTGGTGCCAAGTCATCCTATGCTAACTTGGGCAGAGCTT